CAGCTGCATAAAAGGCATTCACTGTTGTGCACATTTACTGAGCCAGAGAGTTCTCCTGGTATGCTAATACATATTTGATTGATTTGGGCCAATTAAAAACAGACTGAAACCTTCCCTGAACTCCAACATTTGTGGATCAGATGAGGTGAACGTGTATATTACATCAAGGACATTATATTGTTCATCCTACTTTTCTAAATGCAAATATGCAAACATCCTGCATTTTGGAGTGTGATTAGATATACATAGACCTTATTTGGATAATTCACACCTGAAAGGATCAGTTTATAACCAAATATATTGATAATGTCATTGCACAGTATGTATATAATCGAATCATTCATTGATTATTGGATTCTGGAAGACTTTGCTCTGCCTGTTTCAGGGATACCAAATTTAATGCAGTACTATTATAAAATCTAAGATGCTAATTTCATTCTGTAGCACAAAGAACATATTTAAAAAAAAAGTGTTTTGTATTAAAGCATGTACAGTGTGATGCAACTTTCAAGGCTGAAACTCATTTCATTAATACAGTATTAGGTCACAACATTACAAACAACAAAAGGCTGTCAGATAAGTGAAAGCTCATTCGGCATAACGATACTGGAAATCAATTAGCTTCCTGTGTGGTTTCACTTAATGAGCAGACAGCTGTCTGTTGCTGATAGTGATGAGCAGTGGAAACTGTCGAGTGATGTTTGAATCAATTGTTGGTGGTACCAGCACTCTAATAAATGATTTAATATTTGATTGGGAGATCACTGAAGACTACAGTGTGGACAATCCAAAACCAGATGGAAAAGCAATAGGATCCTCCAGCAGATGTTTTCTCAATTTTCATGTCCTGCTGTGCATCTGACTGCAGAATGTATTCAATCTCTCAGTGGAAAGATTTTCATGTTACTGTAGCGGTTTGCTCAAATAGTTACTTAATCTTTGCTGGTACACCTAATGCAACAGTCTAAACAAAGGGGAAAATATCACCAAACAAACAAGCAGAGGAATAAATGTTTTTTTTTATGTTTATGGCCATGACTCATGGAGACTGTATTCCCAGCCCCCCACCAGCATTATTAAACACAACATAATAATGATACTGAATTAGGGTCAGTCACTTGCAACAAGACCCTCATTACACAGGACAAGACCATGGACAAGACACTAAACTCCCCAAGTTAAGCACGTTTTAAAAAACGTATTGCAACAACCACAGAGTACAGATATGAATGTGTTGGTACAGGATTTAAGGGCTATCTTCTATTGTTTTTTACATTTGTTGATCTTGCTGTATAGCAAACAACAGAGTAACATATTATTGTACTTTTTGTTTGGTTGGCAGGCAAGTTATTTTTTGGGTTTTCCACGGGCCACTGACTGGATGATTTTATTACTGAATAAAGCATCATTTCAATGGCAAGACAACAATGATTTCATCACTTCAAGCTGTGATAAACCAGCTGCCTGGCTAATAAAGCCTGTTGTTGTTGTAACATAAAATTACACATCTACAAAAAATATCTTTAAATGTTGTGTTTGTGGTTTAGTTCTGTATGTTGCAAGAGTTTGCAATTTGTACCCATTTTACTCCATCCAAGAAGTCATAAAAAGCACTGAAGAGTTTTGCACATGAGCCAAATAACAAAGGAGCTTGGCCTGTCCCAAATCTCTGCACACAACAGCTCACACAATGTCCCTGCAACCTCAACGTATAACAATGCATTCATTGTTGATAATATCATATTACCCACTGTAAATAAAATAACAATTACTCATGAATGATTTATTTGTAATCACACAATAAAACTGATATAAGTTATTCAGTGTGGCTGTAAGCCTTGTGTACAGCACACTGACTATTATCTTTTTGGGCCTAATTGTGGAAATACTGATTCATGTTATCATAATCTTGTTGTCCGAAAACAATGCTTTTAAATTGTTCTGAAAACAACTTTTCGAAAACGATGATCAATGTCTTTAATTTTGTATTGTTACCTTGGTTCAAAAAATAATGTTCTATGACAGTAAGAAAAACTACAGCCAAAACTGCTAGGAAAACAGCGCCCCAAGAATGTTCAGAATACGAGGATCCAATAACGTTCTTGAGGCTCCAATATCTTTTTGTAAAGGTAAAGTTCTTTGAATGTTTGGAAGAAAAAAAAGTCCCAAAAACATTAACAAAACAACGTTACGAAAACATTAGGGATACATATTCCAAGACCACTCCGTAACAACGTTTCAAGAACATTCTGAAAACAACATTCCAAATATGATAGGAAAAAAAAATGATCAATGTTTTAATTTTTCTGTCATTACCTGTCCAATGGAAAATAATACCTCATTTGTTTTACTTGTAAACAACGTCCCAGAACAATTCTGTGAACGTTGGATTATAACCTCTTGAAAGTTTTCAGAAAACAACGTTCTGTGAACATTCGGAAACCACATTCCGAGAACATTCCAAAATCAACACCTCTAAAACTGCCATTAGAAAACAAAGTTCTGAACGAAGACGTTCCGAAATTAAAGTCCCGAGAATGCTCAAAAAGCAGTGTACTGCGAACATTTAGTAAACACTTGGAAAACAATATACCGAGAAAGTTTAGAAAACAATGTCACAAGAACCTTCCAAAAATATTGTTCTGTGAACGTAAGAAAACCAACGTGCTAAAAGTGCCAGGAAGACAAACTTTATTACAAGAATGTTCTGAAAACTATGTTTTGAGAAAGTTAGGAATACAATGTTCGAGAAAGTAAAGATTATAACGTACCAAAAACACAAGTTAAACAATGTTACGTTAGCAAAAAAAAGTTCAAAGAACATCAGTAATTCAACATTCCAAGAACATTTGTAAAAGAACATTCTGAGGACTCCATAATTACGTTCAGAGAACTTTAGGAAAACAATGTTCTGACAACGTTTGGAAAATAACGTTCCAAGAATGTTTAGATCATAACATCCCAGAACGCTCAAAGAACTTTCAGAATATAACGTTCTGAGGACATTTGGAATATAAGACTCCGACAACATTCAGAAAACAACATACCAACAACATTGGGAAAACAATGTTCCAAGAACTTTCTGAAAACTACTTTCTGAAAACAACATTCCAAAAACGTTAGGAAAATAACTATGTAAAACAGAGTTCTGAGAACATTTGGATAAAAAATGTTTTGAAAATAATGTCCGAAGAAAGTTTGGATATAATGTTGCCAGAAGGTTCCAGAAAAAAACATTCAGAGGACTTTTCCGAGAACGTTTGGAAAAATAACTTACTGAGAACGTTCGGAAAGTATAATTTGGGGAATATTTGGACTTTAACGTTTCGAGAACTGTTCAGTGGTGGGCCGTCAGGGCCAGCTAAGCCTTCTCTGCTGGCCTAAACAGAATCACAAAGTTATAGCTATTTTATAATTTTTCACAAATACACTATATGTATTATATATTTTTTTCCCATTAGCTTGTTTTCTCATTGCACAGCTCCTGTCTTCCTCTGTTGCTCTGCTTCCAGCCTGCAGCGCTGCTTCCACCACAGCTTGTTTTAAGTAGAGCTTTTATCCAATCAGATTTAGCCTCTATTTCTCTATGTAAGGAGAGAGGCCCGAGGTCCTCTGGTAGACTTTGGAGTTTAAGTAAATGGAGACAATATTGTTGATTGTCATAGTCTTCAACCAATCAGATCTTTAGTTTGACATGTTGGGCGTATTCTTTCACGTGCCAGTGGCACCGGGTAGCCTGCTAAGTACGTCTGCATTAACGTGCGCCGTGATTGGTCAGTGGGCCAGCGTGAATTTTGTCAAACAGAAAGCGAGCTAGCAGATCTTAGTGTTTAGTAAGAGTTCAGGTTGAAACATATGTAACTCCTCCACAGCGTTGCCACCACCTGCACAAACAATACATCAAAACGTGCGGAATGACTTGGAATGGGGTGCTGCTAATTTTCTCAGAGAATCTCCTCGCCGTTTTCACGAAAATCACAACTTTGTGCACACACACTTAGGAAATCGCCGTTTAGAGAGACTAAAAACACTCATATTTAGGCCCTTACTGGTTTGCCATACTTTAACATAGGCATTTTCTTTTAAGTATAAATGACTCAAAAAACTTAGGATTTTATTCGACCAAATGAGCATTTTGATAGCTAGTATGGTTTTCATGACATCACAGTTCAAGTTTCAGGGAAATATTGGGACCGTTTCAGATTTTATAATGGGTGTGTGTTGGACAGAATGTTCAGACTTAGAGCAGTGACATCACCGCTAGAGAGAAGAGGAGCTTGAAAACTATTTTGTAGATTTTCCAAACAACTTGCTCTCATTACCACAATATTCCCTTCATACACCATTTTAGGTCAAAACGTAGGACATATTGTGCTGCTCGCAGACATGTTTCTATGGAATCAAATGGAGTTACAGATTTAGCTCAGGGAGCCTGAAAGTGAAATGAATGCCAATCAAGTGCCCTAATGAACTCAATGTTAACTCACAATGTTAACAGACAGTACCTGTTTTGTAACCTGCTCTCATGCTCACATATTGACACCACAAATATAAAAATGACATCACCGTGTTCGGCAGAGTCTTATAGACAGCTGACTTGACTGAGCAGCAATTATGAAGCATTATGATACTTGATCTTATCAATCTATCCATTATCTCTACCACTGGCCTTCAAAATGCTTCATAATGTCTTCTAGTTATTGCTATAAAGAATTATGAATATTAATGACTGATTATAACTATAAGTATACAGTACCAAAATCAGATTAAAAGGCATATGAATGTTTATAATGCATTATAGACATGGTCGTCATTAAAAGTGTTTCATGTACAGTTTTATATACAGTAGATACATATTTTCCAGGAAAAATACAAAAATAGTTTTTTTGCACATTAAACCCAGTTTATTTCAAATTTTACAAAGTTTTCAAAAATGGGCTGCCAAGCTCCCTCCTAAATATACATTAAAAAGGTGGCATTGAAAAAGATGACTCAGAAATCTTAGAGTCTAGGAGACTAGTCTGTTCTTGGAAATACAAAATGCAGACACATTTAGATTTGACATTTGATATTCAACTTTTCTAAACCACAGTCGACTACTTAAAAGCCTTCCAAGTACATTAGAAATGACTCCAAACAACGGCCTTTTTAAACAGGCATATTTATATAAGAGAATGCATTTTATTGGAAGATGTTTAAAAAATAGAAAGGAAACAATCTGCAGTTGAATACATCGATCCAAAAAATACAAGCATAGACACAATTTACATGAAACCTTAAACAACTCACAGCCACAGATACGTAGAAAATCATTGAAGTCTGAAAACACACCATTTATTTTTCTATTTTTTATCATGCTGAGATTTATAAATCTTCCAATACCGCTCGTAACATATCCTTGTTTTAACCTTCACCTCTAGCGAAAGTTTAAAGTGTAGAACTGAAATGTTTTTATTGCGACTCTAATGGTTCGGATTTAAAAAAATATTGCTACCCTGACTTGCTTGGCGTCTTTAAAGTAATGCCAAAATGTAAATTTTAACCCTGTTTACATATGCTGACATTGAACACTCATAATAGATATACATTCAAAGCACAATTCAATTGTTTGTGAAAATATTTTACTTTTGTCAATTTGTCAACATTTTAAATCACTGACATTTTAAGTGTATTCTGTATTAAAAAAAACACTAGTTTCAACCTCTGGGTTTGGTGTCTCTCTCTGCCTTTACATGGTCGATATTCTCATCCGTCCATGCTCAGATCCTTCCCCTCCTCTTGTTGCCATCTGTTAAAAAAACAATACATGTCTGTCAGCCAACTCATGTGGAATAAATTATTATGAGAATGTAGAATACGTATGGCATGGAAGTTTTGAATCTGGGCTCTGATAGCCACAAGGGAATATCAAGCTCAGCAGAACAGCAGGGGGTGATGATTATATTTTCATCCATACTCCAAGCCTACAGGTGGATGCTGCGGTGGAGGTGGGGCTCATTCAAATGGAATGCAGTATGAACAGCAGCCGCAGGGGCATTAGCACTAAGTGTCAGCACAGCGTTCATTTGAGCTTTGTGGCCGCAATGGCAGCAAAAGCATGGCAGCAAAAGATGGAGCAGCACACAGTCAGCTTAAAGGAATAGGAAGACATTTTGGGAAATGTGCTTATTCGCTTTCTTGCCAAAAGTTAGATGAGAAGATTGATACTATTCCTGACAGTGGTATCAATCTTCTCATCTAACTCCTAGCAACAAGCTGCAATACTCAAAATGTTGAATTATTCCTGTACATCCACCATGATAGAAGAAGTGCGTTGGATAAATGATACAGGGAGAAGAATACTCCATGAGAACATAGCATTGGACTCATGTTGACTGCCTGAACCAGCTAACAGGCTACGCTGCATTTATTACAAATGCAGGTTTTTTGTAGACTAGATGATGTTCTTTATCTAAAACTCTCCGGGAAGAGGTTCTTCTTGGACTGCCTTCTATAAAGGCAAACAAACATATAAATCCCACATTATCTATGCATTATTCTTTCCAAGTCACTGAGATGAACACACAGATAGGACTCACCTTGGATGTATTGGGCAAGACTTTCACTGTCCCCCTCAATGTTTGAAACATCAAATTCTGCAGGAAAAAGAAAACAGACTTAAAGTGAAATTGAAATATTAAAAAAAATATTTCCCTAAAAATCCAACCACATTTACCACCACAGCAGGGAAGAGAGCAACACAACGTTGAACACCATTGATCATGATAGTGACTTAGAACAATAAGCCCCATCCATGTCTTGTGTTTGAATCATAATCAGTTTAACTGACCTCCCGGACCGATGTTGGTGGTGTGAGAGCTGACTGAGAACTGACGGCCTGCAGATGACAGCAATTCAAGAGTTTGTGAGATGATTAATGATATGAAACTACTGACGTATCGATTCATGTAAAAAAACATTTACCTCCAATGACCCTGGTAACCTTAGTGATAGTGGGTTCCCCTTGAATGACCCTGGTCACTTTAGTTATATCAGGAACTGTAAAAGAAAAGTAAAACATGTTGCACTACATTGAAATTGCAGGCAGTACAGCATTGCCCTCCAACACAGAGAATATTTGCATTCAGGTATCGTAACATTGGACCTTTCATTCGATCAAAAAGTTTGCTTTGACTAAAATGTGATTAATAATAATTGCTGACTGGTACGTGAATTAGCCAGTAGCAGATAAGAAATACTCTTATCCTCTTTCTGATTGATCAGCACGTTTCAATTCAGCAGGAATCAGACTAGTTTTTCCCCAATTCTGTGCATGCAACTGTTTCACTAACGACATATTAATCAATCGTCATTACTGTACCTTCCTCGATGATGATCCTCTCTAAAAACAACAGGAGGTATAAATTATTGAGAGAGAAGAATGTCTTTTAAGAGATTAAAACTTCTGTATAGCAAAAAACACACACAAATATACATAATAATACTGCTACTTACTCAGAAATGTAAGGGGCATTTCCTGATATCTGAACCCTGATATGAACTGTAAAAAATAAGTAGAAAATATGTTATAGCCATTGACAACATGTACAGTATGACCATCATTTTTTGTGTATGCTGCATAATAAAGCCAATTGTCAATTAATCTATAAAACCAACTTCTGAGTCAAAAAACCACTAGCAGGATGCTGTGTACAGATGGTTTTCAAGCAGGGTCTTGTTCTGTACTTCACGTTGAGTTACATACATTATATTTTTGGCAGCCTTAGAGGTAATAAGAAACAACAACACCTGCACACAGAAAACTGCACCCTGCCTTTTACAAGTCTCACAGCTTTAATAACTAGATGTAAATCTTTGATATGACACCTTGATTTGCATGTAAGAGATGAGCCTCTTCAATAGCATGAGGAAATCCTGGCTTCCAACTGGCACATCTAAAAGAAAGCACAGGGCGTTAACTTAGGTTGGGCCTTTACAACTGTTATAAAAAAAGGGCAGAGAGTGCATCTCTTGACAGATTTACAAAAGTAATATTAACAGAGTTGACAGGGTAAACATTTTACCTCCTGGATACAAGACTTGATTGACGAAGTGGATGACTCCATTTGTGGCCATGATATCAGATTCAGGGACTTGGACAGAATTCACTAGCATAGAGTTGTTTGCCTGAGGGAGACAGTTAAAACTATTACAAACAAGAAAAACACATAATGATGGGCTTATTAACCTGTATTTCAAAATAAGGAATTAACTCTATTCTTCAGTAAATAACTATATTAGTTTGCTAAGGTTACTGAGTTATACAATCCAGGATGATATTTTATCAGATAATAATGATCTAGACTATTATAATCTTAATGAATAATTTAAATACATTTTTACCCCGTTATACTTAAAGATAACACAAAATATAAAGGTGAAAAGTTTATTGACACAAGATAAATGTTTAGTCTTGCTGTTCTAAATACATACAGACATCACTCTGAGGTTGCTGCCCTGAAGAGACTTGAGAAGGTTTGTCACCCCAGTCTCCAAACCACCACCAATGAAGATGCCATTATTGATGTGATACAAAAGGATGGTTCTGAGAGCATTCATGTCACCTGAAATAAAGAATGGCAAAAATATTAACTTCATTTTTTTGTTTTGATTGTGATTTCCAACTAGTAACATAAGGGCTTGAAACACATGTATAAAGGTAGTATGGAAGACCTACTCTTCAACAAGGACAAATCCCTTTCACTTAAACCAGCGAAAGCCTTATCGCTCGGGGCAAACAGAGTAACGTCTCCCTCTTGTTTCAGCAGGTCTGTCAAGCCAGCAGCTTCCATCAGAGACAAAAAGATCCTGCAGCCAAGAGAAGAAAACGATAACTTGGCTGTTACAGAACCCACTGACATATTGTAACAGCACTTTCTGATTCCCATATGTGCCATGTTGATTTAATGGAAAGATACATGTATGTAACCAATATGTGGTTGTGCTGCTTTTTAATACGGGCAGTCCATTTTCACTACACAACATTGCTCTTTACTTACTTGAACCCTCTATTTTCTGTCAGAATTTCAAACATCGATTTTTCCGCCGGTTTCAACAGAGTCCTCATGAGATGAAGGGCCCCATTGCTTCCTTCTTTACTGCCTCTTACCAGACAGGAATTCTCAATGCACACAGCCTGCAGAAATAATCCACAAGTTAAAGGCAAGGGGATTTGTTACATCTCAAAGATTTGAGGATTGATGGTCAAATAACAGGGGTAATGTATATATCGTATGTTTAGTGCCACACAGCCACAATGTTTGGGCACAACTTCAGAGAATAGGACGCACTGTGCGATAGATGAAGACTCTCAGAAATTTCCCTGCAATGGTCTCCAGCAGCTGGCCATTGAACAACTCTCCCAGGACAATCTTTCTTTTCAAGATGTGGCTCTCCAGGATAATCTTGAGCAAACTCTGATCCATGGACATCACTTCATCTGTAGAGGAAAGACATTTTATATTCCCCATTACAAATGAAACATACCAGCAACATTGTACATTTACATCTAATGTATTGCATCAGAAATTGCATTTATATTTACATTATTTTGAATATAATGTCCAGAGAGCAGTAGCAACAATTCTAACTGCACAAAGACCTATCTGCCATTAGTGACTTGATTTACTAGGCAGTTCTATAGGTGGACCACATTAACCTATAGATCATGAGACATGATGTCCTGTACATGAAATCATTTACAGTTTGAATACTCTGTTACATTCAGCTGTTGCTTGTGCATACTTGTGCACCCATTTAAAACCATATGCCTTTGAAGATAAAAGTATTCTGCCTCGATCAATTACACATTCTTGTTACAGACGCAAAACACCTTTACTCCCTTCAGGTGAAGTCCAGGAATGTTGTCAGGGGGAGTGGGTATTTGGTCTTACATGGCATAACGATTCTGCAATATTCCAATAAATTCACTATTTCCCTGTAGCTCCATTTATGTACATTTCTATTCACGTTATGACTCAGCATGCAAAGGGGAAATACAAAAGATCCTCCTTTATTCTTTATTCCAGATTGTGACTGAGTGTGGAGCAGCCTAGGTTCATATTTAGCCACGTGCTTAGTGAAAAACAGAGGGGCGTTCATGATGTAATGAACAGTATGTTGCTCACCACTGAAGGCAGCATTGAAGGGAGCCAGCAATGTGTACTCAGTGCCTGGTCTCATGGCAGCAGAAAGGCCCAGCTCGGATACCATGTCACCAAACGTTGACTGGGAACTTCCTACCAGTTCCATCACCTGTTTAGCTTAAAGGACAAAGAGAATCCCACCACCATTAAAATATGAATTACAGAAAAACATGAAACACCTGGCACATTATATATTCATATAGTAAAGCAGGTATGCTTAAATAAGAGGAAAAGATGGGAGTCTAACCTGAGTCTGGCATGAGCACTTGGTCAATAAGGTGGATGACACCATTGGTCGTGACAATGTCCTTCTTGCGCACCATCTTAATGCCGTTGACTGTTAGACTTTCACCATCGCAGCCAATATCAATATTGTTGCCCTCAAGGGTCTCATAAGAGCTGCCAGCCATGATGGCCTCAGAGCACTGGACTGAGTCCAGAAGGTGGAAATTCAGAAGAGCTGAAAAAGCAAGACAGTTTTGAATTAATGTTTAGTTTAGAAGGTCAGTTTGCTGCATGGGCTATTTTATGTTCTTTCGCATGTTTCACTGCAGCTGAGGATAAAATGCCTTGGGAACTTGAGGACCCTTTGGATCCCTCGGGTCCCTGAGTCAGAAGACTTGTTATTTTCTAACAGTTCTGTTTGACGTGTGAAATGATCTGATCTCACATCGTAAGGCAAGCTGTGGACCAATAAAAATGTTTTGTGCTGTTGCCAATTTGACCAGCTTGCTCAATGAAGCAGCTGTTTCTTTCCTCTCGGTGTTGACACAAAACAAGACAATGTTAAAAATGTTGAGATTCTGCACTATTTAATTGTTTTTTCCTGGATTTTTTAAGAGCTTACGATCACTGTATACTTGAAAGCTTTAACTTGCTCTGATTGACGATTACAGTGGAACAATTCTTGCAAATGTCTGAGAAAAATACTAATAGCTACATTATATTAATCCTGACTTACTCACAACATGTATACCTCTAAAAGTATCAAACCAAAAGTGTGAAATGTGTCAAATTGTTTGACTTTCCACGAACAATTTCATGCGTGACTTGAAACTTGAGACTTATTTTTACAAGTCTCAACTCTATTATGTACAGCTTGTCAAATGTGTGTAAGTTCCAGATCAATTACTGCGTCATCTGTTTTGAGTTAGAAGAAGTTGAACATGTGAATAAATGGTTGACTTAGTGTAAGAAAAATGCCGCCAGTGAATCACCGAATTTATTTTCCTGTACCTCATCGATAAATGTAAATATGGTCCCAGGTTTGCAACAGTTAAAATAAATCCTCAGTTTCCAATGCAATGTTTTAGAAGGCCTTGACCTCTTTGAATAAAAGTCTAGTTTACCCGTGAGGACCGCCTTGTCGCCCTGAAGTCTCTCCAGCACTTCACTGCCCAGACTCTCAAAGGCTTCGTTGGTGGGGGCAAATAGAGTGTAATGTCCTGGTTGACCGAGCTTCTCCAAGAATCCAGCCGTTAGAGCCACATCCTACATGGTGATTTCACCAGTGGGATTATGTTCAATTAACTTAAATATACAATAGACTACAGTAGAAACATTTGCAGGAGACAGACATAATAATCTAATCATCTGAAAAAAAAATATTTTAAAGTAACTATATTGCAAATGCAAACTCTGCGTGTGTTTTTCCATTCCCTCTAAATCCCTGCATAGGTAAGTTTTTTGCAATAATAACCTGCAATATTTTCTAAATTGCTCTGCATGCTTGCATTCTATTTTAATTACTTGTAATGTGTTTGCACTTAGTATACAATCATGGTCCTTGAGGTGTTTACATTATTTTGTCTATCCTTGTATGTATTTACTCACGCTCAGAGTTGTCAGGTCATCGTCAATCTCAATGACATCCTGGATTGTGTTTCCAACAGCACTGACAACACGGTCAACGACATGCACAATGCCATTGGTGGCAACCTGATTGCCATGGATAATCCTAGCGCAGTTCACAGTCACCACCTGCACATAACATACACAATGTTATACCACTGAAAAGTGTTTATAGCACAACTACAAAAAGGACCACGTGGTAATCTTGAATGATAATACTCACCCCATTGGAGTAATGGTTAATTTGGAGACCAAGGTCATTGTACATGGAGGTGACTGTCATTCCATTCTTTAGATCTTTAGTCAAGAGTCGTTTGTTGGCCATGTGATAATGCAGAGCGTTGTACAGTTCAATGTTGATATTGCTGACCAGTCCACTCCTCATTGTCTGATAGGTGAGGAAAACGAGATGTTAAAACCTTAAAGACAGAGAGCCTCCAGCTTATTATTTTGTTCTTGACTTACTTCATCCAAAAGCTCCCAGGCGTCGTTGCTGGGGGCAAAGAAGGTGAAGGATCCAGATCCCTCAATCTCAGGCCTTAGCTTAGAAATATCAGAGTATTTTTGGGTTGTGGTGGCCTTCACCAGACCCAAGGTGCCATACACATTGTCAATCGGGGCCACTGAGAAAGAGATTTACAATACGCATTCTTAGATGTCAGCCTGTCATTCCAATAATAAACTCTACATGTGTGGAAAGTATGCTTCACCATCTTTTTCTAGTTTAGTTGGTCTAATTTCAAAACTAGCATACAGCTGCTCTACAATGTAGCACTTAACTCACCTGCAGGGCAACCACGCATGCCCTCCAACTTCATGTACCCTGGGCAGCACTCATAAAGCACAGTCCTGCAGGCAAAATACACAAATCACAAACATGGGTATTATCTTAAATAAGTAGCGCATAGCTTGAAAGTATCTTTCAACATTGTAAGACATTTTTTTTCGGGCTGCCATGTTTTGCGCTGAATCGTCATTCCACATTGGTGTATTCAGTGTTTCCAGATGTTACTCATTATCTCTTTTATAACCCAAACCGACCATGGGAAACCTAATGGAAAGGGTGCCTCAAGGATTATGCTACCATTACAGTAGTATATTTATAGTATCAAGACCTCCTCTTTGAAGCTAAACAATTAGTTTGAATGATTGTACTTATTTGGTTAACCTCAGAAACATTTTGGCCTTGAAAAACTGCAGTCTAAGACTCAGTTGAGGTTTAGGAAATGATGGTTGACAAGGAACATTTAAAAGGTTTGATGGTCTTTATGTAAACATTTGGGCTAAGCTGAAAAACAACATTATTGAATTGTCACCAGGTGTTTTAGAGCTGTTTTTTTACTTTTATAATTTAGAAAGATAACTATTGTAATTTCAGTTTATATGAATTAGACAGATGATATATGTTTATTTGCTGTTGGACAAACATGTGAGAAGTAGTGCTGGACAATGTAGCCCGAGAGGGGTAGTAAAATTCAAAGTGCAGCTGCTACATATAAACATGACTATGCCCCTTGGGTCAGCAGGTTTGAACATGTTGGAACTATATCATTGTTTCCAGCTCTTGGAAGACCAGACATTTGCAAATGTACGTTTCACCTCAAATAACTAACACCAATAAAAGAAACACAAGACATAAAGAACAGAGTTGGCTGAGGAGTGCGTTTCGGTACACTGCCCAGTAGAATCGTTAGAAAACTCGAAGCTGCTTCTTTTCCCCATTAATCAGCTCAACATGATTTAAATCATCTTGCAAAATAACAAAAACATTATTCATTCTTTGTCTATTACAAACTGATCACTTGTAAATAGCAAAATGTAACAAGTAGCTTTTCATTTGGTTGTGTATGGGAGTGAACAGAGCTGGTTCTACATGACAGAAAAGGAGGAGGAAGACGAGGACTGCACCAAGATTTAGCAGTTTCTCTCAGCAGTTTCCCTATGAGATCTGCACACCAGGAATGCTCCATATGTGTGCCATATGTAGTTCAAATCAGACAATTTTGACTTTGTCAGCATGGTTAGGGACAAACAAAGACATTCTTGGATTTAATGATTGGATGACTAAAAGATGCTACACGTGCAGTAATTGTTAATAGTTGCTCTCGAGCAAAACACCTCTAATAGTAAGATTCTAACACATAATAAAAAAAAGTTAAAAAAAAAAAAGAAGAAGAAAAACCTATTTCAACTGTCTCAGACAGGGTACAGACCGACGCTTCTGGGTCATGGCTGACTGCAAATCTTGAACAGCTCTATTTGAATCAAAGTTGATTGGAGTTGGGGGTACTGGGATGAGATCACACAAGCCCTAATGGGGCAGAGTCAGCAAAACCCTCGCTACACTGCTCTCCCACACAGAGGGATTGTATCTGGCCATGGCGTAGGAAACTTTTAACTTGTCAGCATCTCTATAAAATAACTGTTCCAAGAACCATGATCATTTTGTCAAACATATAATAAACTGTATGTGGTTTCATTCCAATTCAACCCATCACTAATGGGCAGTTTAGAAGTTTGGTTGTGCAAAGTTTTCTTCTTAGAGAGAGATAGCTGCTCTGGAAGCCGAAATAATCTTACTTCTTGAATCAGTGGGACAAGTACAAGTATTTGCCTAAATTAAGTTCCACAGCATCAATTGCCAGATACCACTGTAAAAAGGGCAATCTAAGCCATATTAGATCATTTTGGTCAGTGAGTTAGCGTGAATTAGTTTATATGTTTGAGATTGTAATGCTTTCCTGCTGCTTCTCTGATACAGTAGGAGAGATATCTTATTGTATTTGATCTTATACACAAGTTAACCTTGCTGCATAAGTTATACCAATTTCATTAAGAATAAACTTGATTCTGTTCTGATTGGTCTAAATCAGTGTGGGACAGACACTGAAGTCAAAGGTGTGTGTACTCTGCAGCATGCAAAATGAACAGCTGATTAGTGAAACAGTTTTCTTTTAAATCAACTCCACTAAAACACTAATGAAAAGTAAACTTCGTCAACTAATTAGAACATTTCTGCCTCCAGTGCAGCTCAGTTTTGAATAAATGGGTGTGGCTTAAACTTGTAATTACTAGTTATATGTTGTGATTTTAGGACACCTTGCATCACCATACAATAACCGGTGTAAATTAGTAATCCAGTCCACCATGTGAATTAAACTTTGGCCCACTTATGTTTTGATTGATTCCACAGTCCCATGTCAGGCTCCCATTGAAATAGATACAATTCTTTGGCTGTTTCCAACATTATCATTTGCCAAGTTCAATGAGCAGTGGGTATTCATCATAAAGAACTAAGCCTGTTTAGAGTGCTAAGCATGACTTAGGCATAATGCAAGCGTCAAGGGCAGGGTGAATGTGTGTGTGTGTGTGTGCGAGTGAGAGAGACAGAGAGAGAGAGAGAGAGAGAGAGAGAGAGAGAGAGGAAGCGAGAGACTGTAAAATAGGCATGGCTTCAATCCATGTTTAAACACAAAAGTGCTGAAGGGGCTGGAATAATATGAAAAAAAGAGTCCGTCTATTATGACTGAGCTGAACGCTTTTCCATTCATGAATACAGTCAACATTTTGCAGCCACATCATAGCCTGGAATCAGTGGTTCACAACTCCACGACAACCAGGCTTTCTGTGTCCACAAATGTGTTTTTCATTTTAAGCGGTAGTTTATTCAAAGTAAGATAACAGATGTCTGTCTCTATGGAAACATTCAAGTTTCCACCAAACCCTTAAAGCAGAAGCAGGAGAAGAAGCAGACACTTAAGATAAATGCTATATTTTCAAAATACGTACAGAAATGAGTACTCAGTAAAACTTTTAGTCATTGAATTTGCTCAGAATGTTCATCTTTAAACAAGAGAAATAACTTGTCCTATTGGAAACATGAAAATACACTTACGCTTTCTTTCCACAGATGGCCCCGCGGTACCAATTACGACAAGTGCTGAAGTACTTCTTCTTGGTCCCCATGACTTGCTGGAGTGCGCAGACATTGGGTCTGATGAGAATAGAGAGTAGAAAAAAGTAATGAAGCATATATCAGCAGGTAAAACACAGGAGTAAGAATTATTATGTGACAAACAGCACTGCTGGGTAAGACATCAGACTGTCAAGTGTGAAGATTTGTATATTTGGCAACTGGCACAGCTGCTTCTGAAACAGTAGCAGTACAATATTACTAATCACAACATCCACATCTGCTGGATATAAAATTGGTTTGTAAGATTTGGGTTATAATTTGACAACTATAACCCTGCTGGTTTGTACCTTTTCTAAGTGAGACGTAATGTTATGATATAAAATATGTCAAAAATGAACAATTGATATTTCAAAACAATTGTGACAGCATACAATATAGCAGATTTAGCAGAGACAAATATGCTGAAATGTTTAGAACTATGCTTGTTGTGCTCAAGGCTCAATACTTTTGTATGCAAAATGAACTAACATGACATTACAAGGGTGTACAAATATTCATAATGAAACATATTGATAAGCTTACCCTTCTTTTCTTGCCCTGACGCGACTGTGGAAAACAATTTTGTCATAAGCTGAAGAGTCGGCCTTGTCAAATGTGGAGAACACAAAGAGTGCAAATGCAGCTACAAAAAGGAGCTTCATCCTTGATTTCTAAGCTAGCCCCTCCGGACCCAGAGTGATGGGAGCAGACTCAGAGTGGGAGTTTATATACTAGTCTCATCCTCCACTGATGGAGGATGGCAACATTTCATGTACAGTTGTGTGAAAAAGTGTTTGCCCCCTTCCTGATTTCTTATTTTTTTGCATGTTTGTCACACTTAAATGTTCCAGATCATCAAACTAATTTAAATATTAGACAAAGATAACACAAGTAAACACAAAATGCAGTTTTTAAATGAAGGTTTTTATTATTAAGGGGGAAAAAAAATCCAAACCTACATGGCCCTGTGTGAAAAAGTGATTGCCCCCCCCCTGTTAAAACATAAATTAACTGTGGTTTATCACATCTTTGGAAAGCTGAGTTCAATTTCTCTAGCCACACCCAGGCCTGATTACTGCCACACCTGTTCTCAATCAAGAAATCACTTAAATAGGACCTGCCTGACAAAGTGAGGTAGACCAAAAGATCCTCAAAAGCTAGACATCATGCTGCGATCCAAAGAAATTCAGGAACAAATGAGAAACAAAGTAATTGAGATCTATCAGTCTGGAAAGTGTTACAAAGCCATTTCTAAAGCTTTGGGACTCCAGCAAACCACAGTGAGAGCCATTATCCACAAATGGCGAAAACATGGAACAGTGGTGAACCTTCCCAGGAGTGACCGGCCGACCAAAATTACCCCAAGAGCGCAGCGACGACTCATCCAAGAGGTCACAAAAGACCCCAGAACAACATCCAAAGAACTGCAGGCCTCACTTGCCTCAATTAAGGTCAGTGTTCATGACTCCACCATAAGAAAGAGACTGGGCAAAAATGGCCTGCATGGCAGAGTTCCAAGACGAAAACCATTGTTGAGCAAAAAGAACATAAAGGCTCGTCTCAGTTTTGCCAGAAAACATCTTGATGATCCCCAAGACTTTTGGGAAAATACTCTGTGGACTGACGAGACAAAAGTTGAACTTTTTGGAAGGTGTATGTCCCATTACATCTGGCGTAAAAGTAACACGGCATTTCAGAAAAGGAACATCATACCAACAGTAAAATATGGTGGTGGTAGTGTGATGGTCTGGGGCTGTTTTGCTGCTTCAGGACCTGGAAGACTTGCTGTGGTAAATGGAACCATGAATTCTGCTGTCTACCAAAAAATCCTGAAGGAGAATGTCCGGCCATCTGTTCGTGACCTCAAGCTGAAGCGCACTTGGGTTCTGCAGCAGGACAATGGTCCAAAACACACCAGCAAGTCCACCTCTGAATGGCTTAAGAAAAACAAAATGAAGACTTTGGAGTGGCCTAGTCAAAGTCCCGACCTGAATCCGATTGAGATGCTGTGGCATGACCTTAAAAAGGCGGTTCATGCTCGAAAACCCTCCAATGTGGCTGAATTACAACAATTCTGCAAAGATGAGTGGGCCAAAATTCCTCGACAGCGCTGTAAAAGACTCATTGCCAGTTATCGCAAACACTTGATTGCAGTTGTTGCTGCTAAGGGTGGCCCAACCAGTTATTAGGTTTAGGGGGCAATCACTTTTTCACACAGGGCCATGTAGGTTTGGATTTTTTTCCCCCTTAATAATAAAAACCTTCATTTAAAAACTGCATTTTGTGTTTACTTGTGTTATCTTTGTCTGATATTTAAATTTGTTTGATGATCTGAAATATGTGACAAACATGCAAAAAAATAAGAACTCAGGAAGGGGTCAAACACTTTTTCACACAACTGTATGCATGGACCACCCAGAACCTCTTAAAAACCACATTCTATAAAAAAAATATACTGTTTTTTTTTTTGGTGTGATGAATTATGATGATTAGTATTTAAATAAGTTATGGAGGACTATTTAAAAAATAAAATAAACGAGACCACCATCACATTCACAAAATGTTTTGTAATATTTGCCTCTTTTATGCATTTCTAAACATGTTTATTTAACCTGTTTTAATGTTTTGTTAGACGTCACATTACAGCTCTAGAACACTGGCAGTGTTATTTGAGAATACTTTAACAAAAGAGTAGATTTTATTGCATTGAAAAAAATTAAAACAAATTTAAGAATTTAAAGCTCAATATTTGGTTTTAGATGGATTTAAGTAAATATACTTCTCGCTTTTAGAGACATGATGGGATGCATAATCCAGCTGCATCATTCATTTGGACCGCAAACAAAGAAACATTGCATAATCTCTGCTCTGAAGAAATGCCAGAACACTGATCACATAAATCTTTCAGAATGTAGTTTGCTCCACCAAGTGGTGGGAAAGAGTGCAGGCAGTGACTGTTAATGAGCATCAGTATTTTAAGTGGATGTTTCTTTTACACCGGAGAGGCATTTAATACGGAGGTAAATCACTATTTGAGATATTTAAGACTTCCAATCAATCCATGACCGCCCAACCTTAACACCTAAACTTAGATGTAAAGTCTCAGTTCTTTTCAGTTCTAAATCTGAAAACGTGTACTTGTATCTCTACTACATCACTGCTTTTATCATTTTGTCAAATATATTCTCATAAGAGCCACACCAACCTTTCAAAGCCACAAAACTGGATCCAGATCTCAAACTGATTGACAAGTCTTGTAACACAAATACTAACAGGACACAGACATTCGTACTTTAATGTTAGCAATCGCATCTTACAGAAACAGCACTTCTTGTTGTGAGCAATTGTCTGTGAATTGGCACACACTTGTACAATGTGAAATCCAAGAATTATTTGAAGAAAATGATAATAAACTGCAATCTACAAACAACATGAGCACACGTGTCAAACATATTAAATCCGCTAATTTAAAATATGCTATTGGATCTTCTTGATTCCTTACTAATAAGCAAAAGGACATATGGCAGCAAACATTGTAAGTTCTAAAAGTGCAGCTGTTGTTAAGCTTTACCAGTGGGTGTTGTTACTCACAGGATGCCCAAGTGACATCACTGACACCATTCAGTCTGCCACATGTTGTCCAACCTCCTGGCTAGACAGATGTTACAAATGTGCGCAGTCGATTGTTAGCTTTACAATCTACATATCCAACAAAAGTAAAGTAAAGACTCAGTACTGGCTTGCATGGAGGAATAATAGCTGCAGTGATAATAAAATGTGTTTTTACACTTTTACACACTGACACAAACACTACATGTGTCACAAAGAATGGGAAAAGGTATGTCTTGGTAATGGGTAGTTTACTCTCTTTGTATCTTGTAGTAAGCTCCTTTTTGGAGTGGAAATTTAAGGTAAGAAAATGACAGCTCTTCAGATAAAGAACGAAGATCCAGCCAAATTGATTGGCTTCCTAAAGATAGTGTGATTTGCTCACAGCTGCTATGTTAACAGAAACCTAAAGACCCCAGGTTGCTTGCAGTTTTAAGCTATGAAGGTGTGAAGTTGAATATCTGTGCAAATACAGAATATAAGTAACTAAACTTCAATAGCACACCAATACAATTGATAATAATTAAACCCTACTAATATCAATAAACACTGTATTTATTGCAACAATACAGTAATTACTTTACCACAATAAACTCAATATTAGTGGTTAAAAGCTGCTCAAAGGAAGACCTAACATATGTAGCTATGTGAATGTTCTGCACAGATTGATAGGTTTTTTTTCACTGTAAAAGTACTGTTCATGGGTGAGTGTCCAGTATTTATACAGTTATGCCATGTTTACATATCTTCATTTAGCCCACAACACTCCACCAGTCTTTTATATTCTTACACATCACTAGAGGGCGCCTGATGCTTGATAAGTAGTAATAATTCAACACAAAGTAATTTGTCTTCTAACCACATAATCATGAAATTATTAGTGTTAAGTGCTAAATTTTAACAGTGTTAAGGCCCCTAAATTAACTGAGTTAATACTTTAAATCAACGTCAACATGCAGAATTGCCCCTTTCAGAATTATGTTATTATTGGATGATCATCATTCAGTTTACAGCTGATTGGAAAGGCATGCAGGATGTGAATAATGTACCAAACAAGAATTCAAAGAGTGCACCAGAACCTTGGGTAATGCTTGTTCTCTGAAGGTCTGAAAGAGAGAAAAGTCTCTCAGGAGGATGTCTATGTTAACTGTGCATCTAGTGCACTGTGTTAGAGGGACCACTGTATATACAGCCAGAGAGAAGGTAACAAACTATTTACTGAAATCTTTTCTGCAGTAAACAACATGAGAGCGAAGATTCCAGCCGAAAAGCAACTCAAGTGAAAGGCCAACTAAAAAAGTTCAGTTGTTTTCTTCATCGTTGTGTCATCTTCTCTCTGTCCTAATGTTAGAAATATGCATATTTTGAAATGGATAAAGAGTACAGCATGTTGAAAGGGGTGGCAACAAATGACTCAAAAAGAAAATTAGGAACAATGTTTTTTGAATTACATTCTCTTATTTATTTGCAGAGTAATTTCATTACATTACAAGTAATAAATAAAATAGCACAGTAACACACAGTCCAAATAAGGGCCCTTACGCCTGCAACTTATAGTGTATGGCACACCAGGTTAAGGAATACAGCTCGCAACAAATCTCAATTAGATTGCATTGCGTGCCTCTTCTGCTTCAACGACAGAATACCAGTAAAATATGTTGCTCTCACCCTAGACAGGTTAGGGAGTTCATGGTGGAGTAAAAGAGAAGCTGACCCTAAACTCTGAACTAGCTAGGTGTTACATTGCTAGTTAATCAACAGTATTATTTGTCCAAGTTTAATATAGAATTCGTTCCGGTATTAAATACAACTAAACTTCTGTTGACTCAGTGGCGGAGGAATGGATACTGTAAGTATACGATGAATATTACTTTTTTGAAGACATAGAGAAGATGATTTTGCATATCACAGTCAGAAGTTCAAGGTGGAAGAGGATATAATAGGCAGCAGGATGTCAGGGCTCTTTGGAATTAAATGCTCATGGTAAAATAGGAATTAGGAACTTGCTTCACAATTCAAGTTAGCCCTTACTGAGGTCTATCCTCTCAGTTTTGTTGTATCTTCTATCAATCAGAGGTGAATGCATGTAATATAATGTGAGATAACATAACATTACTATACCATTATATGTATTGCAGGATACAAGATTATTTTAACTGCATATATGGTTTAACTTATAATCATGAAATAATACAATTATTTTTGATAAACTTTTTTACAAATGGTAGTTGAATTACTGAAAGTTTCAATCCAAAAATGTTTTAAATCATTATCAAAATCTCTCCATTAAAAACACAAATTAATTTTCATATTTTTTTGGACCATTTTTTACTGCCTTAGTGTGTTCTTTGCAAGAAATGTCAATCTCCTGAATGTCCTTGTCCACTTTCTGTACGACTTCAACGATCACTCTCTCAGTCTGAAGGTGTTTTTGGTTTTGTCCACCAAATCCCTCCGTATCTTCCTCTGAGTATATTTTATCATATTTCGGAGAGAGGAGTCCCTGTCCCTGGAGGGACCCAGAATCTGATAGCTCCTTCTGAGTCTGTCCTATGCTTGACAGAAGAACTGAACCATGTGCTTGCCTGTTAGAGCCCAAAGAGCTGGTGGTGGTGCCAGCTCCGCTCTGCAGGGTGGGGGGAGGTGATGTCAAACACGTTTAGCTTCTGTTGAGGCTCATCGATAGGGAATTTGGGAGAATACTTGAATGAGTTTCCAGGGTAAGCCAAGCTGGAGCTTGCAACGTTACCTGCGACCCCACCTTGAGGTTTACCCTTCATCATTCCGAGGACTTCATAGCGGAAGCTGGAGATATCCTGCTTGAGCTCCTATCAAGTATTGAGAACGAGGGATTAAACAGCAGAGATAACACAGCAATGAAAAACAAACTTGAGTAATTGACTGCATACTACCTTGAAATTCTCTTCCGTTAGCCCTTCCTCTGTCTTGGCATCTCTGATCATTGCTGCAACATAGCGCTTCATGAGGTTCCTCAAAACCTCCTAAAAAAGATAAATAACGTCTTGAGGTGTAAAACCATGGAATTGTTTTTAAATAAAGTTTCATCAAAAATGACCAAAGTCAAAAACAATACATCAAATCTTTACAGTTCATTGAGTAATACAAGTCATTACCTGATACTCATGGTTTAGTCTTACATTTTCGGCTGCACGTCTCTGAAACAAAAAGAAAAAATGGAACATTAACCAAGTGACACGTTATCTCAGTTTGCAATGGTAGGGCGAATTGATCTTACTTTACTTGCCCTTTCTTAATACGAGGTTTTATTATATAGATTAAATTAGCGACTAATCAAATTCTGAAGATAACAGGTGATTTAATTTACTCTTCATTCTTTTGGAGCCACCCGCTTTGACTATAATACCAGACAGGCATTGAAAACATATGCAATGCATAGGTGACAACATAGATCAGAAGAAATATCAAATATCTCCTTACCCCCAAAGTTTCAAAGGTTTCAAGCCTTTTTAAACTTGTCCTCTTAAATAAATGTGTATATATCCATCCAAAAAAATAATAAATTGACTTTGGACTGGGTATGATATTGAATGGAGATGGCAAAGTTCCCCCTTCTTCAAAATAGCTCATCCATAATTTTGTTCTTGCAAATTTCCACTCTATATCTGCATGATCCTGAAAAGAAAAAAAAACAGAATTTGTAAAAAAAACAATACAAGACAAATTAGTGTGCTAAAACTAAAAAAATATGTAAGCTCCAGCACTCACAGCAATGTGCTGGTAGGAGTTGTTCATCATTGCAATTAGCATGTTCAAAAGCACTACCAGGGAGATGACGTTATACGTGCCAAACATGGTGCGGCCTACAAACTCAGTGAATTCATGGGGTGGGTTCACATTGGTCACATGGAGGGAAATCAGGCCAAATACAGACCAAAATAATGACTGCAGTGTCTCGAACAGCCTGAAAAGCAAACAACCATACATCACACAATGTGCTGCTGAAAAACTAACGGTGTAATTAATAACAATGCAGATATGTCAGGGACAAAATATTTGAGAACTCCAACTTGCGTTGAGAAGGCGTTGTTTTGAACTGGACAGCGAATACCCCTGCATCCATTGCATCCATTTGTGTCATAATAAAAGTAGAGTTGGTTAAGGCCATTTGCAAAGGCTATCAGCACTAGACAATAGATGAAGAGGAACTTGAGGATGTCCAGGAGCATGCGGCCCAGTGAGATCTGTAAGGGGCCCAGATGGGAGTTAGCAGTGAAAAGGCAAATGAGGCGCAAGGAGCTGAAGATGTTGGCAATGGCAAACAATGCCTCTGCAACCAAAGTCGGATGCCACATATCCCAGCAGTATCTCTCTTTGGCCCCACTGTACTGTAAAAAAGAAGAGAACAAGAATAATTAATTCATAGACTACCATAAACAATAGATGCTGCAACGTTTCAAGTTTTTCAGCACACAAATTAACTGTTCTACTTTAAAGTACAATACTGTGATACCATTTATTTTCCCTTTCCTCTTAATAGTAAACTATGATTGAGGCTCCAGCAAAGTTAAAAGCTGGGGTTAACATACCTGTTTTTTCAATTACATTAAAATGCTGCAATCTTTGATATACTATGTTGATAATCATAGTCAAATACCTTGCACTGTAAGATGTACAATACCTTTGTAAAGGCAACAATCTTCAGAGAAATGGTTGCAATATACAAGGTGTTCATTATGAAGTCCATTAAGTTCCACCAGTCATCTATGTAGTCTTGGAAACCACTATCCCACATCTGTTTGATCTCAGTCCATATAAAGCCTCGGAGAGAAGAACAAAAGGTTATTTGTCAAAACTATCACTCAAGTATACAGTAGTTTCACAGGAAACAGATAGAACAGTATGGTCGTGGTTACAGTAAGCACCTTTGTTTGACTTTTACCAAATGTGTGTGAGTACAGTGTAGAGATGTACAATAGTGCACAACATCAGGATAAACAGCAGTCTGTTAGAGTGTGTGTGTTTGTGTGTGTGTGTGTGTGTGTGTGTGTGTGTGTGTGTATGTGTGCTGTTACCAAGCACCCAGGGCAGGATCAGCCATTCCACAATGGTGGGTGCTGGGCCTTGAAAGTCTTGATACTTCGAGGGTGTAAAGGCTATATGCTGCGAGGCCAACAGGAGCAGGAAGAGGAAGGTCAGGTAGGAAGCAGTGTGACAGATGAACTTGATGAAAGGCTTACGGATGAATAAGCCATAACGGCTCTTTGGAGCGATCATGTAGAAGATTGATAACAGTGGAAAGAGGAGGCCAATGAAGATACATGTGATGAGTTTCCCTGCCCAGTGACGCCTCCTCCAGCCTGGGAACTCATCATACCACTGAGATGCCAGCAGCTGCTGACAGTTGGGCTGAGCAACAAACTAGAAGTAAGAGAGAGACAAATAAAGACATATCAACTAAAAATGAACTACCTCCTTGTCCGTGAATTCCATTCAGAAAATGATGGACAAATCAGAACAAAGGCCACTAAGCTTAAACTACCTGCATTAGAGACCTGCAAACTGTACACAAAAACAAAACAATATATATAAAACCAACAATTAACAAGACATTAAAGGCTGTATTCAAAATGTTTGTGTCATGGTGCTCACTGCACTACATAGTATCTCCCTAATGTTGGGATGTGAACTTGAATTATTACAATTATCTTGGCAATAACGATCTCAGTACCATCTCATCTCTATACAATGAAATAAATGGAGTAAAAGCTAACTAGCATTTACATGTTTTGATTTAAATAAACATGTTAAATAAATTATAATTAGAACAATGTGCAACTTCTGTTGTTTTTGTTCTCTGCAAACAAAACTGCTGACATAATTGCTTACTCCACTGGATAAATGTTTATATATACTATTATGCTATAAGTATGCTAAGAAGAAGCTATATGTTTTTTATATTTTTGAGAATATATAGTAATAGCCCGTGTTTGTTTTAGGAAGTCTAAACTGCCACTGAAACCGGAGGTATAAACACCTCAGATCAGATTCTTCCTCAAAGTACCAAGCTTGTCCATCCCCTACAAGAGGCTCAATAGGACATGCCCCAACTACCTCAACTCTTATACAACAACCCAACATCTAGAACCTTCATGAAATCTCTAAAACCATCCTTCAGGAACCTCTCCAACAGAGGACATTGAACAAACACGTAAACTGGATTTTCATTTTTTTTTCTTACTGTATGTTGTCTATTTTATTTTTAGCACAACTTATCTAACATCCAATCGCAAAAGTTGAATCCAATCACTACATGACTGTAGACTCGTATGACACAAAATGAATAACAGACTTTTATCTTGTGAACATGCAAGACAAAAATTTCAAGTGGGAAATTCCGAATCTTGTTGAGAAGTGATTGACTGTGAGATTTGATATAAACATCTGGCTGACATCTGCAGACGGGGATCGAAGTTCATTTCAGCTTAACCAAGTTACGGCCAAATGGATCCCCATTATGGTTCTATATAGCATTACATGGGGGATGATGAGGTCATCTATCAATGCAGAATCTGACATCTTTAATGTTTCCTATTCGTCCTTGTGAGATGTTGACTTGCCGTTACATGACTGGAGGCAAAAGGTGGCATCTGTTGGGAACAGATTTTGGCTGAGGACATTTTTGGAAGGTGAAAACCCCCCTCTTTCACATGTCACCCCACTCTCCTCCTAAAAAAATATTATTAATTCTGTCCTAAGGCATGTTCTTAGTGATGACATACTGTGTTGTGCCTATTAATTAGCTAATAAAAAACATGTTGTCAGTTTATTTTAACATGACCTAAATCAGTTCCACAGAAAATACAATTTATACTATAATATTTTGCCATTTTTGGTAGATAACATTAACTGTCAGTGTATGTTTCTGTACATGCATATTGTAGATAGAAATACAACAACACTTATTCAGCGATTACATTTTTTATTCAACACTTGACCATGTTTTGCACTTGTTAAATTTTAAAATAACAAGCCATCATGGGGGGTTTTCTGAATGCTTAACCATTACAGTGACACAGCAGAAAAGCTACATCGTTCTGACCCTTTTCTTAATTGTGTCTTATACAGAGCTAAGAGCAAATCTCTACAATGCATTCTAATTGTAAATTTGTGAAATAAAAGGTTTATGTTGCCACAAAAAGCAACAACAGCTGCTCTTCTTCTAACGGAGGGTGGTCAGAGTAAAACGAACCCATTAAGCTGTTCGTTTTATGAAGTTCAATGATTTTTCTTGATTCAGCATCACTACGGGACACAGAGGTCAAGTATTTAAATACACAAGATAAAGTTGTCTTATGCATTATTGCATCCACGATTTTACTGGCTGAAAACTGACAGCATCTCTGTTTCCAAAGCTTGAGTCAAGTCTTAAAGAATTTGAATCTCAAGGAAGTCAAATCTCACTGCAGAAGACTCTGTGATTATTATCATTATCACTGCAATTATTATTATTATTGGTAGTAGTAGTTGTAGTAGTAGTAGTAGTAGTAGTAGTAGTAGTAGTGTGGTAGTGCAGTGATGATCAATGTAAAATGTAATCCACAATTTACCAAAGAAATCTTGTCCTAAACACCCATCTGTGTTAAAACAAATAGCCACTGAGCCCTTGAAGTTTAGCTGTAAAACCTTTTGCCATGGAGACCAATTGTGGCACAAGGGGCTGCCAACAGTCACACTGATCTTTCATTCTCACATTACCAACTGTCGCATCACAACGCAATAGAAAAGCACTGCATGGAAAGACTCTTAGATGCTGAAGGCGAGACCAAATTGAATGTAGAAGAGCATTTAAGTATGCAATTACTACACACCTACTGTATGCAAACAAAACCCAAAAGCTTGACGTAGTCTCTTTAATGAGTGGAACAAATAAAAGACAACTGCTGAAATGAGTCTATACTTATATATAGCCTGTTGTGCAGGAACCAACAGAAAAAACAAAACAACCCTGAGCTTTCCTTTACTTGTGTATGAAGTAAAATGTTATCGTGCCACATTTCCTGACCTCCCACCCAAAAGGGAAGTCATTTTTACCAGCTTCCATTGTTAACACCTGTTGCTGTATTAAGCAAAAATCCATGCAAAGTATTTACATTTACAGATACATTCTGTTATAAACCTCACAAGTGGTGCTTAAATAGTGTTGATTAATATAAAACCCTTTTGACATATCTCATTCTGTTACTGCCACTGTGTAACCACAATTTGTAATTTTTTAGAGGCTCTATTTCAAAACAAATGACAAAAAGTTAGCATTGCATCCAAGGGATACATACTCCAGAGAAGATGGTAAAATACAGTAAAAGGTTCCCTCCCTAATTAAAATATTATGAGTACGTATTTCACGGAAATGACCATCACTTATTCCATCATTATCCCCAATTATCCAATTGTCACGGGACTGTCTTAGAGTGCTACTGTAATGCGTTGCTAAGAGCCAGCCTGGCAATTATATGATGCTCTAAACTCCCTAAGGACATCTCCACCCATCTGAGGCCATTTACAACTCATCTTGGAACCGTTATTGTTATCCAGTCCATGTTGTTATAATAATGCAACACGTATTCCTTGTTGTGTGTGTGTGTGCCAGTGTTACCAAGACAAATTGTTATTAAAATACTGTTGGACACTGCAATAATGCGAAAAACAGGATATCATAATCTAGAAAGAGCTTACCTCCTTCTGGCAATATTTGATAGCCAGCTTCAGTCGGGCCAGATCATTGGTGATCTCATCCATCATAGGGTTGATATCATCGCGGAAGTTGAGGATTATTTCCAACTCTTTAGAGCTCCGGGTCTGGTCCAAGAGGTCCTTTGCAAATTGTTTACACATTCGTGCCAGTTCCTCATACTCTGACTTGAACTCGTTCTCTACTGTGCTGAGCTCCTTCAGCTCCCAGCTGAGTTGAAACGCCGTGAGGAAAGGATCTTCACTGGAGAGGGCGATAAGAGACGAGCTGGCAAGGGCCTTGTAGATGTTAAGACGGGAGCGTGAGTGGCGTAGGCCGTCCACGTCTGAACTGGACAAACACTCCACACAGTTGCAGCGCACAGCATGTGGCTGAGGTATGGAAATACCTCGCTGCAGAAGTAGTTTGATGATCTCGTAGTTGTTGGTGTGGGCTGCAAGGATGATTGGAGTGATGTCTGGGGTGAAGTCTGAAAACTGTTTGTCCAGTAGCATTTCTGGAACCTTTTCAGGAAGCAGAGAGAGGCAAAGAAAAATTGGAGGAAATGAAACAGAATAAATTTATAGTATACTAGTATTTTTTAAGATAGTTCATAAAACAACATTGATTTTTAAACCCCTCACATGAACTGAAACAACTGGTTTGAATGGGTCTAATTTCATTTGCCTTGGGTCTCTGACAATCTTGTCTAACAGCAAGCACACAGCTAATGGCTTGTGGTTCAGCTGGCCTCAAAATATCTTCCTGGTTGGAAGCAACTTCATCCTTTATTTTTTTCCTTGTCTTCACATAATACACCAAGTCCATTACCAGACCCAGCAGTGTCAAAAACATATAGTATTTACAAAGATGTCAAGAATTTGAAAGCAACCCAAACAGTGGAGCATCACTATTTGTTGTAAAAGCGTTTTCTGGAAAATCGATACACGGGTTGGTGACAAATGTAAATATGAGTGTACAGTACAGTAATCACAGGAGGCATAAGTGTGTGGGCAGGTTGGTTCAAATTCTATTTCAGAAGAAAAGCGGCTCAGAAAAAGTCTTGTGAACATAGCTTGAAGTCCAACATTTAATGAAATGGAATTGACCGATGCCAGAATGGTTAGCAATAAACAGCAACTTCAACAACAAGAGAAACCCCTGTGGAAATGTAAACTGTACATGTGATGTGCTCATGAATGTACTACCTGTTTTTCTCCACGGGGCTTCTTGTGGTTGAGCAGCAGCTCCACGGCCCCCACCACTTCTTTGCGGATGGCATGTAGCAGGGCATCACCCACATATACGTTAAAGCTGAGCAGCAAATCAATGATCTCCAGGTTCTCATTTTCAATGCCAATGAGCAGCGCTGTGCGCCCCAGGGGGTCGATGCAGTTGATGTTGATCCTGAAGTAGATCTCAGCCTCCTCCAGGGCTTGTTTCACACTGGCATAGTCCCCCTTCTCAACAGCACCCAGGTAGGCCTTCTCCAGGGCAGAGAGCTCAGACTCGGCTCGCACGATCCGCAGGGGGATGCGGTCCCTGTATGACGAGTTGTCAGTATTCCTGTAATACAGCTGTGACATTGCTGCTGAATGAGAAATTATAAGACAAGGGAGAATATGGAATCAAGTTTCAGTGTTAGCTGTCATGTTCCAGACACAGTGGGAACAGTATCAGTATGGAACCTCCCAAAACAGTCTTTCTGTAATCATCTGAACAATGTAACAAAACTAAAATGTTACAACGGAAAACAAAGCATTTAGGTCAGTATTAGTTTATAAGCTTCATGCTTTTTTGACAACACATTTTGCCTAAAAAGATGTAGGCCTATTTGTCTTTTTCATTGAAATTGTTGTTTAAACATGTTATTGTTAAACTGAAAACACTCTTCCACTAGTTAACATAAACATAACCTGAAACATGATTAAAAGTATTTTTTCGTTCACAGTTTACAACTAGACAACTAAATAGATGACTAAAAAAAAAAGACACATTTTCGTTAGAAACGTGCGTAATCACTCATAACAACTCGGCCCCCGCAATAACATTGCACAAATAAAACACGGAAACTTTACCTTCTTCCTGTTTCTTTCCAGTTGTGATTTAATCAAGAACCACTCGACGCAGAACCAGATGATGGGGCAGTCAGAAAGAAAACAGGCGCATCATCATCTTATCAGTAAAAGTCTCCACTGGAGACAAAGTAACTTATCACTGGCATGTCCCCCTCCACCCCTTTCGCTCTCTCGTCTGTTGGAGCATTAAGCAAATGTTACTGCCCTGTCCTGCACGTCTCTGCAAATACACGCGTCGAATCAGGTGACAGACTGTATCCTCTTATATAAACTGTTAATCGGCGGGCAACGCATCTTTAGCCATCACCGCCCCTTTTTCACTTCGGTTTTCTGTATCAGTGTTGCCTACATTTTACAAGTATTGGTGTAAGGGGGAGTTTCCCATCGAGGCAACCAGTTCCACCTTGTTGTCCACTATGTAAAAGTAATACATTTACTTTTTTAATAATATTGTCATATTGTCCAAAAACAATGCAGCGTTTTGTTAATAAGATGTGACAGTAAAGGTATCCCTTTATCTTTGCTCACTTGTTTTCTTTTCAGGTTTTATTGGCTAATTAAAGTAAAACGTATATGTATCGTGGACATATAGGAATCCCAATAGTTTATACATATTTATTTGTGCTTTATTCATTTATTTTTGACTGATTAAAATCGTGAAGCGCACATAAACTTTTGATGTAGCCCAGCTGTATTGGCAGTACCAGTGCCACAATGTCAATAGCTACATTGGGTATACCCTATGGGTCTACCCTAGACCCATGGTCCTGCAAATGTTTCACTATAAAGCCTTATTAGGAATAAAGGGATTCTGTCCGATGAATGCTAGAAGCTGTGAAGAAGAAATTAATACAGGGAGTGTTGAGCTATTAGCAGGATAATGTAGTAACATAAATTAAAAAGGGCAAAAAAAGAGCAGATCAGGAAACAATGAGGTTTCAATTTAAACAGAGGGAATAAGAAATAAAGGCCATGATGAGTAGCAACTCACCACTTGCTTTGTCTTCTTTGTGACGCAGGGAATTACCTGAATATCCACCTCTAAAGAAATAGTCAATTCCCTATTCATCACCTCTGCATTGATTTATTTAAAAAATAATCACAAGGACCTTTCTCAAGACATACTGTATCAACAATCATAAAGTCTGCTCATCAACCCAAAAGTGCATGATAGCCCACAGCTGTGTTGGAGGCTGTTCGTGATCACCCACACAAAACAACCAACCACTCAAGACTACTTCAACCATCAGAAATCTACATCCTCATTACGCAGCACCACTCTAGATACGCTCACAGAGGTATGGGACATAAAACACACAGGTCAGTTATATCTATTTAGGGATTTGGATGGAGGTTGACTTTGTCTAACAGGACATTTTACGGGAAGAGCCTGAGATCCAGGTCCTCATTCTGTAATGCAAAAATCCAATATGCCTTGCATCTCAGGAGGGCTTCCTTCAAGTTGCCTCCTCTTTTGAAAATTTGAACTCTCTTAATTCCAGTATGTCAGAGGATTTTTCATATGTGCAAAACGCAGGGCAACTGGACTGTCTTTGTTCGCATTGTTTGCAGAACGATGTTCCGCCACTCTAGTCTTTAGGAGTTATTTTTTTCTTACCAAAGTATATTTCACCACAGGCACAGTTGATGAGGTGAAACATGCATGTGCACAATTTGCTATTCAGTAATGCAACAAATCTTTACACGTGAAGCACATAATGGGATGAATGTAGTCTCACATACTCTGTTTCACACTGTAGCCTTCAGGGTTTTCCCTGAAATCAAACATCCCCAGCCTCTAACTGTTCTGTGTCCAACCTTTCTCCACCTTATACTTTTGCACTGCAAGGGCTGTTTGTCAATATCCCCCTCACCCCCTTGAGATACAGCTGATGTTTAAGTGTGTATAGAGACATGTTTGTCAATGGCACTTTGACAAACATTTTTATTTTTGCTATTTTGCTGTGATCTCATTGAAGATGTTTTCTAAAGCTAAAAGAATGGGAAAAAAATGCTCTTGTGTAGATGCACTCCAATGGGTGCAGTCTTGCAGGTTTGACAAAAAAAAGTGCATTAAAAAAAATATCTAGGGACAAATTTCATTACAATCTACATAGGCATAGTAAACATAAATAAAAAATAAAAAACGTAATACGATGTCAAAATTGAGGATTTTTGTTCATACATGTACGTTTTGATTAGTTCTTTGAAATAGATTTATGCCCATTAAGAGTGAGTTCACGTTCAGTATTTCCTCCTTTTCTTCTTGGTCATTGTAATTAGCATGTGTTGGGTTCTGGAGAAATGTGTGTGCTTTTGTGTGATTCTGGCAGATACTGTTTGTGTCTAAGATCCATTTGCCTCCCTTTGAATCAACAGAATCCCTCACTTACGGGACTTATTTTATCATCAGTGCAGCTATTATCACGCCACAATCGTCATGAGACATCTGCAAGGCAATCTTGTTTGTGCTATTACCAACTCAATCACAGAATACCAGCACCATTATCTGGCAGCACAGTGAGAGGCAATATCATGAACAGACACAAGATTTAATAGGACTTTTCACATTATGTATACATTGTGAAACACAGCTGGATGATATGGCTCTAATTAGCAGGACACATTTTGTACAATATCACTTCAAAACACAACTCACTCATTGTTATTAATACTAATTACTATGACCCAAAAGTGACATCCAGGAAAAAAAATTAAAAAGTCCGATGTACTGTATTGCCAAAATGAGTAATAGTGTAATGAGAGTCCATTCAGCTTACTGCTCTCTCCAGTGTAATAAGTTTCCTATTGGTTTTAAGTATTAAAATATGAGTGAGTCAGTCTCAAAACACGATCTTCTATTTCTCACTGGGACACGAAAATTCCCCAGAAAGTGAGCACAGAGTTCATTCAAGTTTCAAGTTTAATTTGACATTAAAGAAGACAAAGAAAAGGTCTTTTCTAAAGCCTTTACGGCCACATATATGCCCATTGAAAAAGGTTATAATCCACAAAAATTTACTTTTGAAGAGAAGAGATCAAGTTGCAGTTCCACCACAAATGAGAATTTGTAAACATCTTGAGGTTAATACAACATTAGAGCCTCCTGCTTCGGTGCACTTGCAGCCATCTAATTTAAAGTAATAACTTAAAGGAAGTCTGTACACTGTAGCTCCCTGAAGTGCAATTTATTGGCACATCCACAAGTTCTTGTATGTGGACGTGCCAATAAATTACACTTAGGTGTCACAACGGTGTCCACACATTTATTTATGTTTTCATTGCTGTGCGTTACCCCTATGCATTGATTTTACTTCAAATCTACACATTCATTTTTGATGCCAGTACCATCCATTTTGGCAGCTAAATCGGATGCTCAGATCATGTTGCATTTTCTTGTCTTCTGAGGTGTTCGTCCTTTAGATTATTTATTAGGTTTGTTAAATTTAATCGAATACAGTTTTATTTAACTGGGAAAGCATAATGGCCAATAAAGTATGTATAGCTAAATTGACCCTGTCATTTTGTTGGGAAGGTTACAGAAGTAAATAAAGTTGCTCGACTGAATATGAAGCATTGTCAACCCTTTTTAATTAAAGGTGGGAAACTGAGAATAAAAATAAAATATTCTAGGTGTTTTGTGTGGTTCATTTTTTTCATAGAAAAATGTCTTAAAACAGAATAAAGCAATGACTTAAGAACAAGACATTCTTCATAAAACCATTTTAAAGCAAAGAATGATTGATGAAAAATTATTGAAATGATAAACTAATTCATTCTGCCGTTAATGATTCAGGCTGAAATTATAATGTTAGCTTAATGATGATTAACATGATCAATAGGTTCATGACATTTGAAAAGATCTCTGACAATATGAGCAGATGCTGCATCTGTCCTTTTTGGCCCGTGTGTCTTTTCAGTATACAGTCGAGGCAGCTGCTGTACAGTTCTTTGCCCTGAGGAGCATTTTGCAGACTAATTTCTTTTCTGTCCAACCGAAAAAGTGAATGCCAGGATGTATAATAGATTATATCTATTTCCTGGTTGAATTTCCTGCCATAACACTCTGATGTCAATTTAGGTTAAGGTCACAGTGTGTGATCAGCTCATGTACTATATATTTTTTTTTTTTGGTAGCTTTTGTAGAGGACAGTTGTTGATAGAAAGAGTTGACGCCAGACTGCAGAATGTGACCTGTATTGCAATATTTTTCCTCTTCCTGGTCCAGACATAATGCAACACATCTATGTATTTTTTACACCTTCTGTTTATTGCTCTGTGGCTAAGCATTTGTGTAGCCTTTAACTTTGTCAAAGACCTGAAAAACAGACTCTGTTGGTAAGACCACAATCAAAACAATTTTAAAGAAACCATCCTTGCAAATAAAATGTTATCCCCCACAAAATTCAGATATAAAACTATTATCAGTTGTGAGAAAAACACAAATGCTATTTTTTTATTGAAAAACCATTCTCTTTAACTTTATGTGAATGTACAAAGTCAGCAATC